AAGGCAACCTCATAGGGAACATAATAGATCGGTGGGTAATGAGTGAATAGCCAGCTTGAAAAAGCAAGGTGACAAAAATAAGTAAATACAGTAACCATACAACATAGACTTCCAAAGCAACAGACATTTTTGTGCAAGGAAATAAACAGGCGCATGAGTATGGAAACACACTTGGATGAGAAGGAGGGTTAGTGGCATACTCAATGGAACACCATCACATCCATAGCATCCTCCTGGGAGATATAAATATAATCAAATGTTCTCAAAAGAGGTGTTCAATGGGGATAGGAAGCACCATTTCCCTGAGGACCACTGCCTCTGGGCAAAAAGAATGAATGAATGCCTTATTCAGAACTTAATACTTTTCAAAGTTCTTGCTTGATAGCCTGACTCTCAACACTTATTTAATAAGCCTTAGACATGAGGTAGATAGAGAGAATATCATTATTCCCATCTTAGAATGAAGACATTGAGGGACAGGGATATTGATTTGATCAAAATTTTAGAGCTAGCAAGGATCAAAAGAGGAGATTTCTACCACAGATCCTGCATTCTTTACTGACACCATATTTGTTAATAGACACTTTATAACTAGATGGCATTGCTGATGCATTTTAAAAGATTTCAGTATGTGTGTATGCTTTATCCAAACAATTTCACTTCTGGCAAGTTATCCTAAGTAATTAAGAAGATGTTCAATGTTCTAGCTGCAGAATCATTCATTGAAGTGTCATCTATAGAAGTGAGAACTAGAAACAACCTAATGTTCAGCAGAAATAATTGAGGAAATATAGGTATACTTACAAGATGGCATATTAAAAGTCAATAATTTAAAATAATATCATAGAAATATCTTTACTGACATGAAACTTTTCACTGTATATTGTTCAATGTTATATAGCATCCTTTTCAAAATTTAAGCACATATTATAAAACATTATTGAGAAAAATATACAACCGAATACTAATGGTAGTTATCCTTGGATGATGGAATTATGGTGTTTTTCATTCTTGCCTAATTAGGTCATCTGTACTTCAGATTTTACCCATTTACTTGTATAATAAAAATTACAAATAAAAAACATTGTCATAGCCACCTAGGTTGACTCAAATCCCCACAAAGTGGCTGTACTGTCAACCTCATTTAAAATGGTTTCCTAGAAATGACTCCAACAGAGGCTGCTACAAGTGGGGTGGGAGGGTGAAGGCAGAATTGCTCCATTCCTCTGTCTTCCCATAAGAAGATGTTATCACCTTATCATATACCTATCGGTCATCTGAATGTCTTCCTTAGTGTCTAATTAGTCCTTATCTCTAAATGGGTATTATTTTAAGGCACTAACTACATTTGTGATAATTTACTCTATAATAATAGAAAAACATTATAATTAGAGAGTACTACAGAAACAATTTTGCCTATTTCCTTTGCCCATGTAAGGAACTAGATATCCAGGGAAGTTATAAGATTTTAGGGGAAATCGAGGCAAATCTGGGACTAGAGTACAGATGACTTGGTCCATCTTCCAGAGCTCTTTTTACCTCCTCCCCCACTTCTTTGCCCCCAGCAAGTTTCTGAGATCACTTTTATCCAGATTCATTTAGTATCTCAGAAGAAGGATGACTGTCAGCTGAAGACCCTGCCAACATCACAATTCTAATGTTTCTTAATTAAAAAAAAGGAGGAAAATTGATTGTGAACACATAGACACTTCTCCACTTTAAAAAGTCAGTATTTATAACTTCCACCCAAGATTTCATATGCTGCCAATACATGTAATCCATTCCTTTCTCCAACAAGTGACAATTTCACTTTTCAATTCAGTGAAGTTCAGCAAAATTCTTATTCCTAGGAGGTTACGTGTAGTGGAATCTTTCAAATCAGCATTCTACAGGTTTCCCTTACTGATGTGACTTAAAACATTTGAAAAAATATAATGAAAATTAAAAAACTTCATGGAGAACACAAACTATGCAAAGTTGAAAGTCCCATAAACTTACATTGTTTCTGTGACAAGAATATACTACATATACTTAATTCTGGTCACTTATTCTGCAGGCAATGCCATCAGTTGTATTTCTAATAATTGTCAAGACCATGACAGGCGTTAGCTCCTGCCTCTCTTGGGATTAATTAAGTGGGTATCATTAATAAATGTAACACAATTCCTGATGATGTGATGCATGACTGGGAACTCAGATAAGAATGAGTAACCAGGACTGAGTTTGCTCACCCTTTAAGCACAATTAAATTCAAATGCATTAAAGAAACCACCAGATCAGAGAGCACTTGAAAAGACATTTCATGACCCAGATGGTTTCAGATTCATTTTACCACAAACTACTTTTCTCAAATACAAAATGATTGTATTTTAAGTTTGGGTTTTGGTTTGTTTTCCTCCCACTGCAGCTGCTGAAGGGTCGTGGCTCCCCATGTGGGATGCTGAGACATGATGAGAGAGGGTGGCTTGATGGTCTTCCCCATTCCCTGCCCATTCCTACCAGACATAGCAGAGGTATTCAAGGGGAGTCAAGGTCTTTAAAATCAATTTACATGGTACCATTTGACCTTCTTCAATTCTTTGCTAATTGAGTTCCACAAACAGGTCTGGTTCTTGCTTGATTGCACAAACTTTATTTCCCCCTTTTTAATTTGTAGACCCCATGTTCCAAATCCCAGGATCTTTGCAGAGTTTAGCCTAGAGCAGCACTGCCCAAAGCGTCTCTTTGTGGTGATGATGGAAGTGTTCTCTGTTACATCCTCTAGGGTAGCCACTGGTCACAATTGCTACTGAGTACTTGGAATGTGACTACCGTGACTGAGGAACTGGAATTTTTATGTTATTGAATTTAAATTAATTAAAAATGTAAATATCGACATGTGGCATGTGGTCACTGCACTGGACAGTTCAGTTCCAAGATACAGGTTACAGTAAACTGCTGAAGAGCAGCTTAGGAGGTTACATGTGGTAGAATGGAGGCAAATTCCTGCAGTTCACTGACCCCTTAGGGGATCAGGTGCTCTCATTTACTGTGGTGGTCACATGCTTTTACCTCCATTATCTGGCTACTCATCCCATAAAAACACATGTAATTATATTCCTTTTTTGTATATAATATTAACAAAAATAGTAATAGTTCCTATTTGTACTGTGCTTGTTTTGGGTCAGGTATTGTACCAGATACACTTGTATGGATTTTCTAAGAAATAGTTTCTACATACATTGCTTTATTAATTTAACAAGAATAACAATTAAAACTAAATAAATCGATGGTGGTTTTAGGTCTGTTCTTTGTAGCATCTGACATTTCCCTTCTATCTACATATTTCATCTCAAAATATACCCTAGTCATCAAAGTTTAGATAGAGTATTAGCATTACATTTCCTTACACAATGCTAGAACATGCTAGGCTTGCTACTTCATCATATAAAAGATACCTCTTTCCTGCCAAGATTTGGCTCTAATACTCTGTCAATTTCTCCTGGCTTTCTTGTAGCAAAGAACCAAAAACAATTGTGGTACAAGAGAAAAACTGATCTGAAAAAGATATGGTGCCAGATAAAATCCCTTGGACATTTTAGAGCAACATATAACTAGAAACAAAGAACAAGTTATTTGACAGAAGGGCACAAGGCTGGAATATCTTACAATGGGACAATATAATGGCTAGTTCTGGAAGGTTATGAGGACAGATGACACCCAAGTTGTAGAGGAGAAGTCATCTGCTAAGTGTGTGCTTTCATTTTGAGAGGCATCTATGACACCATTTCCTCTGTGGGGGTGGGAAGCAACAGCTCCCTACCAGCAATACTCACTATAGAACTGCTTTCATATTTTCCTCTGAATCTTTTATACCCAGTAAAACATTAAGGTGTTTATGATCAAGTGTAATTCAACCAAGTTGGTAAAGTACGATCTTAAAGCTGAAGACTTAATAACAACTCGGTTCAGAGACTGGCTGTCACCAGCAGGCAGAGAGCTCCAGTACACAAAAACACCAGTTTGTGTGATAAAAGCTTGACAGCCTTGCCTACACACACACCAAAGAAAATAACATGCCCGTGACAGCTACAACAGCAGCAATTTTAAACTTCTCACTGATGAAATGCACTTTGCAGTCATAACTCTTGCATAAATCTGGATGTCACTTTTCCATGTTATAATTTTGCGATCCAATGGATCACTATGTAGCCCCTCTACCTGCAAATGAGCCCGATAATGCAGAATGTGCACAAATCATTGAGCTATCAGTGACATCAGGGGTTTGGCTGCTGGGGTTATTAACAGATATTTTTTCACCTAGAAGCACAGACTAAAATCAATCATTCTGATAACTAGGCATGGCATGAGCTGTCTGCACTTTCATTTCAATCTGATTAATCACATATACACAGACCTTTACCTTAAAGGAGCAATTGTTCACATTTAATCACAAAGAAACATTCAAGCATACCATCAGACATTACTAAATTTAACCACAATTTATGCCTCCTGTTTTAGCAAATATGTTTATGATAATATGGTTTGCTGCATATAAATGCATTTTTCATTCATTTTACAAACATTAAAATTGAAGTTAAATAAAATAATCCACTGTTTTATAGATCATTAATCATCTATTTGATGCTTTTGAAGTTTCCATTATGCCCATATATTTTATTGCACAATTTATGCTGATAATCACAGAACAGGTCAATTATTAGCATTATGTTTTCTCCAGTAAAGCAGAACATGCTTGATATCAGATTCCATCGTGTTACATGTCCTACTTCTTGCAAACATTTGGTTCTGTTACCCTATCAATTACTCCTTACTTCTAAATTGCAAGAAAACAAATACAGTTGTGGGTGTAGGAATTTTTTTTTTTTAATCTGAAATAGAGTTGGGACCAAGTAAATCTCTCTTAGATACTCACAACAGTGTTCCCAGGAAATGTAACATTCCAGAAGGCACATCTGCTGTTACTATAACAACAGAAAGACAGAGTCTAAAGAGAATCATATGCATTAGATGGCAGTTCATGAACCGGGAGGATTCTTGGGTTTCTCTAAGAAACCATCTTAAAAGAAGTAGAACTTAAAGAAGGCTTTGATGTATGAATAGTGCATAGGGTTGTCAGAATTTGGGGAAGTTTGAAGGGCAGCTTGAGATTTATAAACTGCAACTAGACCACAGTTGCACAACTGCTCTTTGAGAAATCAGCTACTACAGCTGTAGTGAAACAGTCTCTTGCTGGGATGTGTGCAGAGTTAAGAATGTGTGAGGGGAAACACCAGACAGAAGAAAGGATGCTTCTCCAATTGTGTCACCTAAGGACAAATGGAGGGAGGTCACCTAAGGACAGTCACTGGTCCAGGGGACTAGGAGCCACCTCCATCATGCACGTCCTTTGAGATACTGAGAATGGCCATGGACAAGCTATGCAGGGATTGGCACACTCACCCTGTTGAAGGGCTGGACTTAAAAGTGAGTCTCAGTTAGTTCCTCTCAGACTTTGCCTCTTTTTCTGCTTTAGCTCCTGATTTGTTGATTTATTTTCAGGTCCTTGACCTTCTTGGTCATCTTGCCCAACTTCCTACACTAGGAATGGATTCATTCTTATTTGGGAATCGACATCAGCCAGTCTGCCTTCCTAAGGAAACCCTACCCAGATGACTGATCCCTTTCTCCATCTTGAGTCTTTTGATTCAGCTTATCCCTACCTAAGCCCTAGTTTGAGCTGAACATGGAGTTTTGAGACTCTCCCTGGATGAAATTTACCTGCTTTTATAGTCGAAAAGGGTCATTAGCCAATTAAGTCATTTTCCAGTGGAGAGATACTGCAGGGATCCCTGCAGAAAATAAAGCAGGCACATGACAGTTTCCTTCAAGTGTTTTGAAGGAAATAAACTAAAATAAAGAGGAAAAGGGGTGAAATGATCCTCTTTTCTTAAGGAAGTCAGCACAGACATCTCTCAGAAGGTGATATTTCAAGAGAGACCCAAGAAGGAGCAACAGCTGCCTATATTAACAACATATCACAATACATGGAAGAAACTAAGAATGTGGAAGAGAAGGGCCAAATGGGTCTTCTTGGTGGTGAGCCAAGGGTGATGAGTTTTGAGAAGAGGGTGAGATGTAGGTATGGGCCAAACTGTTCAGAGATTTACAAGTCACCGTTAAAGAGTTTGAATATCATTTGAAGTTTCTTGCACAGCATATTGTCACAAGGCCTAAAGGGACCTCTGAGACTCATGCTATCTGTCAGGTAGAAGGTAATTCTTTGGCTTTTTATCTGTATACCAACTTTTTAAATCAACTTGACTAATGTTTGTTTATAATCAGTGAGTAAGCTGCTACTTTAATACCCTACCCTGGAAGAGGCCCCTTCAAGGCATGTTAAATTAACTGATGTGAATAAAAACAATGAATAAAAATACCTCTCTTCTTTAATGAGAACAGCAACTTCTGTCTCCCTGGGCTTTTTCAGTCCCATAAGACCTTTTAAGGCAGAGTTTGCATGTTCTGGTTCAAATGCTTAAAACATAATCTTGTCTCTCTCTCATTGGGTTATGTTTCAAGAAGCCATTTTAGATCAATCTTTTTGAACACAGAAGCTCTCAGCTGCTGTGGCTTAAGCATACCCAGCACCATGGTTAGTTTGGCTGTTTTCCCCAGTGGCTGTTCTCACACAGAACCCAACGGGGTTGCAATATTTTATCTGACACATGGACTCTTCATGGATAAATGAAGTCCCAGAGTTTGTGTTATGCACTGGCCCAGTTATCTACCCTAATCTCAGTGAAAAGGGCTAACACTCCACTTCCCTAACTCTCCACTTACAGAGCAGTTATAAATTTTCACTAGCACTTTGTGAATCTATTCATATGTTCTGCATGTATCATCTTTTAGGCATTTGACTCCTTATGTTCATTATTCACTCTACAAAGAGGCAAAGTTGTGTAATAAAAATGATTTTATTTCAGTTCTATAATTTTTTTGGGGGGGAAACAAATAAAATAGTGTCCCTTCCAAACATGACTTGCATTTTCCAGGTAACCTCTAAGTTCCTTCTAGCTCTATTACGCTAGGAATCTCTACAAACACGAATTTTAAAATAATGCTGGTATTAATTTTATAAACTGCTATTAAAAAATCCCAAAGTGCAAAGGGACAAACAAAATGGAATTCATTTCTCTCTTACAGTTTGTTTTATGACAGTGTTCTAGATCAGCTAACAGCTCTGCTATCAGAGCAGGTTGATTCAGGATGTGATTTAACCATACGTGGTCTCCAAAGTTACTCAGCTAATAACCTGTGTAAGCCCATAAGGAAGGGAGGGCGAGCTGAAGTCCAGGGCTAAAGATATCCTGCAAGTTAAATAAAGCAAAGATGATATACATCTCTCCCTCTTTCTATCCTCTGGTAATCACTTAAACACATGGCTGCAAGGGAAGCTAGAAAGTATATTCTCACACTGGATCCATATGAAACTCCATGACTAGGAAGATGTGGAGAATGGATCTGGGTGGGCAGAGAGAGGTGTCTGTGTTACAAGTCTTATATTGCATGGTGTTTCAAAGCCTATACAGCTTTCCATCTACTGAATTTTCATCACACTTTGTGAGTTAGCTTTTAAAATCTCCATTCCAAAGAGGTGAACCTATGTCCCAGAGAAATTAAGTAAAATACATGAGGTCTCACAGTTAGCTAAGCTAAGCTTCAATTTCAGGTCTGTTGGTCAGGGCTGTCTCTATAATAAAAACTAAATTGAAATATTTGCATATAAAATAATCATTAGCATAAATCTGCATGAATATGACGGGGTTTTGACGAACAAAGAGGCAAAAAGAAAAGTAAAGGGAACAGCTAAAGCATGGCACAGACCCAGGCTGGTCTCTACATATTAAGAGGTCTCTGGACAACCTTGAGAGAATTTAAGAAGTGAAATTAAGAAGAAAAAACATAAAGCTGATTGTTTGCAATTGAGGCAATTACTCATTTTGTTGTAACTCTCAGTTGGTCTATAAAGCACATCTAAAAAGAAAGAGGAACTGCAAGAAACACTGATTGGAGGTGAAAGTAAATTGTTAAAGAAAACTAAAATTTAAAAATATCAAAAATAATAAGATGTGGATCTCCCTGGTGGCACAGCGGTTGAGCACTGGATTGCGAAGCTGCCCGCAGCCTCTGCAGCGCCAGTTCCATCCCCGGCTGCCGGCCGAGAGTCCCACATGGTATGCAGACCTCTCCTGCTGCCCGCTGCTCCCCTCAGCAGTGTACTTTGTCAGTCTGCCTGCTCTGCTCTCCCCTCTGGCTCTGGTGAATTCTCTCACTCTCCCGTGCTTCTGACTGTACCCAGTGCTTGTATAAATAAATAAATAAATCTTAAAAAATAATAAAAGATGTATAAGTCATCCCATCTGCAGAAAAGTAGTTCTGTACTGACAGTGGAGGTGCAGATTGCTGGAAAGAACAATGCATCCCGCCCATCCTCACCTATCACACACACTCTCCAATCATTTGTTACTTCAACTATCTTATGTTTGCTATGAAAACCCAACCATAAACTGTCAATAAACCAACCTCATTTTTTTTTTTGAAACAACAGTCAAGCAATCCCTAAGTACAACTTTGAAAACTTCTACCTGAGTTCTTTGATTTGAACCAAATTCCTATGAAAATAAAGAATCCCTAAAAAAAATACTAGGTATAATTATTCTTTCTTTTATTCTTCAAAAAAGATTTGAGATGGTAATATTTCAGGGTGATTTCTCTTCCAGTTCTTTTCTTACATTAATAAATAGGATTTCACAGTTTAAAAGTCAAGGTTCTCTTTCCTCAATTCTGTTCATAAGTGTTCATTTTTAAAAGGGATAGTAGATTATCACCTCTATCCAAGAAAGGCTGCAAGGAACCTCAGAGCTCTCTGGTTACTCATACACCATTCAAGATAAACTCCCAGAGAAGGAACATCAGTCAAGCTTACCAAGTCAGTTGTAAATGGGCCAGATGTGACAAGGTCATCTATTATTTTACACCCCAACTTCATACAGTTCTATTTGTGCCTTTTCTGAGGAGGGTGGGAGAACTCATCAATGGAGAAGATTCCTGATGGAGAATATTAAGCATCACATCACCTATCACTTTGTCATGACAAAGTTCTGTTCCAAGTCACCTAGATCTTTTCTCCTAATTCATGTTTATTCTAGACACCCAGGGAACTTACAGAGACAACACTGGCTACCTTTTGTCATCACTTGCAGGAGGCTGGGAATTCTACCAAATTCTACCACATGACCTTTAAGAAAAGTCTTAAGCAAAAACAACTTATTTTATCAATTTTAAAGGCTGTGGCTGTTTTTATATCTAAGTCTGCCATCATCAGGTTCTATTTATTGAGCACCTTTGTGTTTAGAGCCTTGAATCCAGCAGATAACAGAGCAGAAAAGAGACAGAAGCAGAGGATATTTACAATCTAGAGAAAGAAATCTAAATCTACCTCAAAAGCTAATAGTGTCTTATAAATGCAATTCGTCCTAATGCTAATTTCTCTGGTCTTTTGTTTACACAAGCAAGCTCCGGGCTCTTTTATGGTGTCACATTTATCAGCCAGCAGAATATAAGCAAATCTCATTACACCCGAATTCAACCACCCAAATGAGCCAAAATGTGGATTATGGTATCTCTTTATGCTACAATTTCTACTTAAAAAACAGAAACATAATTCTAATGCTTAGCAAATACAAACTGTTTTTCCTTACAATTCCTGTTTTTATTGCTATTTTTGTCTGAGCCCTTAAGCTCCACAGAAAGTACAAACAAAATTTAAATAACTTAAAACCCAGAAAGCCAGAGAGGTTGTGAAGATGACAAGGGGGCATGGAATCCTCACCATCTTCCCAGCAGCATCCTCGTCAGATACTCAGACCGTTCAGCTGACCGTCGGAGTCCAAACTCTGCTCGTTCTTAAGTTGTCCCCATCCTTCATCATCTAGTTTAGAAAACGCCCTTTGTTTATCATAAGATCCACTATTTTTCAAAACATCCAGATATTTTAATCCTTTCTTCCTTCTGATGACAATTCAAAGTCTCATCTCCAGTTTCAAGACAAACCAAGTTCTATGTGATGGTGTCAAAAAAGCAACAGTGACCACATTTATTGTGTTTGTCCAGGGGCTGTCAGGAACACTGGTCTGGCAGAATGAGTGAAGTTTTCTTTTTTTCTTTTTTTTTTTTTTAATAATAAATTTTATTTTTATATTCCCCATACAATTGCAGCCCCCCCATTCTGACCCAATCCCTCCCCTCCAACCCCCGCCCTTAAAGTGTCTCTGGTTCATAGTTTTTTGTTGATTTTGATTTTCACTTTCTTATAGTTATTCGTTTTCCTGGTCCCTTATTTAAGTTTTCTAGATTCCTGCTATGAGTGAGACCATCCGGTATTTTTCTTTTTCTTTTTGGCTTATTTCGCTGAGCATGATCCC